CCCCAAAACCCCAAAACCCCAAAACCCCATAATTAGAGATTGTTAAAAATTTAAGCCAAACAGTAATTATTTCTAATTTTCATAAGTATATAAATTAAATAAAAATGAACTTGCAAGGGTTTTTCCAAGACATCTTTTCAAGACAGGGTGTCAATGCTCCGTCTGCTCAGAATAACAATGATGGACCTCGTTCATAAGGTTTACCTAGAACTTAGAATGACCCCTCTGCTAATCAGGGCAAGTTTGAGGAGATTAAGAATAAACAAGGAGGTAGCGCCGTTGGAGGTGGAATAGGTGGAGCTGCAGGTTCATGGTTATAAAAAAATCTGGGTGGTTTTGGAGGATTTGGCAATCAAAACATACTTAATCAAAAGGAAGATAAGAATTATACAACCTGCTTAACATATACTAAGAGTTTCTCAGGCAAGAACTTCATCATGACTGGTGCTACTGGTGGTATTGGCTCTAAAGTTGCTAAGAAACTTATGAAAGCTGGTAAGTTAAATTCAATAATACAATATTCTACTGCTGTATTTGATTTGGCTTCATCAATAGTAGAAATTATAATAGTCCAGGAGATTGATGGATTCTACTACTGTCAACTTCATTTACTTTATCAATATATATTCATCTTTGACACTTGCTAATTGATTTAATAGGGGCTAGAGTTGTGATGCTAGTGCAAGATCCATCTAAGATTGAAGGGGCTATGAACCTTAGGAATACACCTTTCAAGGCAGGCAGAAACTTCTTCCCAATCGCTTTGAACTTGAGAGAGCCATATCAAATTGAGAAGAAATTCAGACAAGCATTGCAATAAATTGGAGGTGATTTGCATGGACTTATTTTATGTCATGGCTATATCAAGAATGAGAGCATCACTGAGACTAACATGCTTGAATGGGATCTCATGATGAATCTTAATGTTAGACCACACTTCCAATTGATATCAATAGCAATACCATTCTTGAAATTAACCAAAGGATCAATAACTGTCTTATCTTCCACTGCAGGAGAGACACCTTTACCTGGCTCAGCTATCTATTCCACTTCTATGTCAATGCTTAACATGTTGGTAAAGTGCACAGCTCTCGAGACAGCATTCCATGGCGTAAGAGTGAATGCTGTAGCTGCAGGAGTGACCTTAACACAATCAAGAATGAAGAAAGAGTCTTTGAATTTCACAGATAACCAGAACAAGACCTTCTTAATGGAGGCTGCCTAGGATGTTCCACTTTTGAATCAGATTAACTTGCCTAAAGATGTCGCTAGATCTATCCTCTGGTTAGCTTCAGAAGATGCCTCATTCGTGACTGGTGAGATCTTAACTATTGATGGTGGGTAGTCACTCACTAACAACAACTATGTTGACTACTTAAAAGAACTTGAAGCCTAGAAACAGGGTGAGGGACTGGCTGGTTAGCTATTTGGAACTTCAAGATAATGATAGAAAAAGCAGATTAGCAATGATAAATACTATTGATAAGGATGAGATAAAATTTTCATTAATATAACATCAAATTTAAATTCAAACTGACGCCAGTATTCACTTGGGGTTTTGGGGTTTTGGGGTTTTGGGGTTTTGGGG